AGTGTCCTGGTATCTATTTCTTGAAGCATCTAGGAGTCTCTGTTCCCTCTTAGCACCTTTTCTTTCTCACATTTGTCAGCAGAAAGTTAAGATGGAATGGCAGGTTCTTTGATTAGAGTTGTTTTAATTTGGGACTGGGATTGTAGCTCAGTGGTAAAATGCTTGCCTAGCATGTGTGAGGCACTGGGTTCAATCCTTAGCACCACATAAACACAATACCTTTATTTTATTTTTATCTACAACTTAAAAAAAAAAAAGTTGTTTTAATCTCTGTCTACAAGACTGACCATAAACGATGCTCCCAGGAAGTCAGCTTCATAGATTTAATTGTGGTCCAGCAGGAGAGTTGTTGTAGTAGATGCTACCTCTTTAGTGGTATGAGGAGACTGGTGGGTGGATATGACATCTTTGGATTTCTTGTAATAATTTCTTATTTGTATGGCCAAGTAACATTAAGTCATATATTCAAATTGCTGAAAGTAGCCCATGTGTTGTAAGAAATCTGGGGATTCTGACAAAGTTTTTATAGTTTTGAGTTTTTCTGTCACTTAGAGATGCACTTAAGGTTATAGGTCCTAGACTCAGACCTAAATTTGAAAATTGACTTTGCCACTTAAAAGTATGGTGGCACTTGGTGAAATAGTCTGTTAATTGGTAGTATCCCAAAATTAAAAAGCACTATAACATACAATATGTTAAGAAGATATTTGAGATATTTGTCTTGGTCAACTAGAGCTACTAGAACAAAATAACAGATGGTGTGTGACTTAAGCAAATGTTTATTAAACAACAAACATTTATTTCAAAAAGTTTTGGAGTCTCAGAGGTCTTAAAACCAAGATACTAGGACGTTGAAATTCTTCTTCCTGGCTTGCAGACTTCTTGCTGTATCCTTATCTGGGTAGGAAAAAACATCCTCTGGTCTTTTTCTCTCCTAATAAGGACACTAATCCATGGGGGGACGGGTGTCTCCCCTCATGACCTCATCTAAACCTAATTACCTCCCAAAAGCCTCACCTCCAAATACCATTACCTTGAATTTAGGTTGCGGGGTGCAGGGACAACAAACATCCAATCAGTAACAATACTTAACTTTTCTAAGCCTCAGTTTAATTATCTAAGCTAGCTCTGAGATGGTAATACAAGTATAAACCTAAGAAGTTGGGACATAGTAAGCTCTCAAAAAGAAAGTTGTTGCTACTTTAATTATTGTTAACATCACCATATTCCAGAGATGTGCTTCCAGGCATTTTTGATATTTGATAAAAGAGAGGACTGAATGAACTCTTCCAGTTTCAAGAATCGATAAATGCATTTTTATATTTGCATTTATGCTTATGAGCCTCAAGACTGAGATGCTGCTCTGTAAACCTCCTTTATTTCCATGTTTCACTATACTACCATCTCATGTCAGCCTGTCTTTCTGATTATATATTCTGCCTTTGCTTTTTCTCTCATTTTCTTGGTGACTTTTTCTTTTTAATTTTCCTGCCTGCCTTTTCCTTAGTCTTTGATGCCATATATATCCTCCCACTTTTTTCTTCATCATTTATTGTAAAATAGCTTATACTGTATGTTGTTTTGCTGTATTTTAAACTCTTTATTTAAAAAACTAGTGTTTGAGGTAGGGCATTTCCCTGTATACGACTGGGGGTACGTTATGTATGTTATGTTCCTGTTTTAGAGTTTGGCTTTCCCAGACATTGACCAGGACAGACAGTGTTAGACCTGACTTTGTTCTTCTTGGCCTTGTTGTGGCTGGTACTGGGTTGGTATGTGGAACTAAAGTTTTCTGGTACTATATTCTGCTTGAAGAGGAAACTGTTTCACAGATCCCCTCATGTATGTGACCATCAACTGCTTTCCCCCCAGACAATAACCATGAGGAAGCCTCTTCCTTTAGCTCCTTTAGGGTAACCCTTCTGTCAGGTTACTGCTCATCATTCCCTGGATATAGTACATGTTAAGGTACTCTCTTTTATTTTGAACTCCCTTTTCTTTTGTTTTCCTGGCCTTCATAATATAAAAGCATTTGTTTTATGTCTGCCAAGAGAAAACCAGTTATTGGACAAGCCTCTGTTTTTTCTACATTTAGCAACTAGCATTTACACAATAGATTTTCATGTATAACAGCACATCCCTTAACCATGGTTTAAAATCATCTTGAATAGATGTACTTCCACTTAATTATGGATTTTATGCTCTGATTGATGTAAGCTTATTATACATTCATGTTTATAAGACTTTATGCTGAATGTAGATACTTAAAGATTATTGTTTTTCAGTTTCTTTTAAGACCTATATTATGGGTTTTAAAAAATTTGGAAAAAAAAACAATTTAAAAATGCCAACAAGCAAAGGGTAATATAAAAATTGATTTATTGGATACTGTTTAATTAATGTGTTGTGATTGACAAAAAACCCATTACAAACATATAGAATATGAAAATTCTGACAGATCCAGGTTGCTGAGAAATACTAGTAAAAGAAGATGAAAAGATGGATTATCTTAGACTGAATTTTATTTCACTTGTTTCTAGAGACATTGTTAGCCCAAATTGCAAACTGTGACTACAGAAGTAAGAAACAAATATATAAAAATGTGTATTCCCTTTACCTATATGTTAGTTGCAGTGTTCTCTTATGAAACAATATTCAACAAGATAGTCACATGGTACACCAGCATATGAAAAGATGTTCAGTGTCATTAACATTCTAATAAAGAAATGCAGATTAAAACCATTATCACTACATACTTGTCATAATGGCTAAAATAAAAAATAATTACAATGCCACACTGTGGTGAGGATGGCAAATAACTGAATCACTCTCATACATTGCTGGTGAAATGTAAAATGGTGTAGCAACTCCAGAAAACAATTTGGCAGTGTCCTACAAAACTAAGTATGCAGCTTCCATACAACCCAGCAGTTGTACTCCTAGACATGTGTTCTGTTGAAATAAAACTTATTTTCACACCAAAACCTGTTCATAAGTTCTTATAATCCTGCTATTTGTAATAGCCCAAAACTGGAAACAGCTCAGCCAGCTGTCACCTCAAAAGATGAATGATTAATATACTATGTTATATGTGTACCATGGAATACTGCACAAAAAATAAAAAAATGAATTGCTTATACATAGCCATTTGGGTGGATCTCCAGAGAAATATGCCAGCAGGGAAGGGCTATCCCAAAAGACTACCCTATGATTCCATTTATTTAACTCTTTAAATAACAAAAATTTCAAAAATGAAGAACAGATTAGTGGTTACCAGAGCCTAAAGAAGAAGAAAAAGAGTAAGAGGGAAGTAGTTGTGGCTATAAAAGGACACTTGGTACCACTTAAAAAAAAAATTTTAATTCCAGTTGAGATGTTATAAGAATATTCTCATGAAACACTACTTCCTCCCCACATGTGTTTTCTTATTTTTTTAAGTCTCATTTGTTGGTGGATCATTTGATTTTTCCTTTATTTGGTCAAGAAATAATTATTATTTAATGTGTGCCTAATCTAGTCTTGACATCAAGGTCAAATCGTTCTAAAATCAAAATCATCACCATCTTATTTTATAAATAGTAGTACATTTTGCCACATTGTTCAAAGTCACTTCTTAAATAGGTGCATCAGAGGGAGCCTTGGTAACATAAATTTTTCTAGGGTAAAATTATGGTGGCTAGGCTTTGTGGACCTTGAGTACACTTTCAGCTGTGTGTAAAAGTGGGGGAAAAAAACTGTTTATTGGAATTAGGACACTGCTATGGGCTCTGGTTCATCTGTAAAGAATGGGGTGAGTTTCTCTGCAGGCAGATAAACTGGCAGGCCCTTGTATTTTCCTAAGGGAAGGGCATTCTTTCTCCCAGTTCCACTTTGGACTTAACCTGGCAACACAGAATGTGCTCTCTGGAACTTTGCAGAACAGAACTTGGAGCTCAGGGCAGCTGCAAAGCTGGGTTTAGAAAGACAACTGTGCTTATGGTGAATAATTTGGAGACCAGTTTATCAGTCCTGTGGTTCAGTAAAAATTGGCTTCTGGATTAGCCAGAGCAGTAGAAGGTCTCCCATCTTGGTCTGCATCATATTGCTGCCCAGAGTGACTTTACCTAGATCATGTTTTGACATAATGTCAGAGGTGATGGTGAATAAAATGTGAGGGTATGCACAGCAGCTGGAAATGAAATCTTATAGCCTTAGAACCAAAGGGGTTTTTGTTTGGTTTTGTTTTGGAATTTTTGTGTGTGAGTGCGTGCACACACGCACAAGAATGAGGATGGGGGGAGAGGAAGTAAAGTCAGCTTTAGCTTATATTTTCCCTCTTCTGTCACTTTTTGGAGGATTCTGAAGACCTCTTCTGATCTGATTTGGATAGAGAATTGAGGTTAAGGAACCCAATTAAAACTCTTTGCTTTGAACTTTGCTAAACACAAATACATGTTCCAGTGAGTCGTTGAGGCATTGCAGGGATTTTCCCTAGAGGTAATGTTATAAACAGCTTAGACCTAGGCTAGCTCACCAAGGTTTGTTTATGTATCTGAACTATAATATTCTGTTAATAGTTCTGTACAGAAGCCAGCTCTCACAACTTTGTTTCTGTTGGAAGATGAATCAGTAGCCCCTGGTTCCAGACTATCTTGTCAGGAGGGCAGTGGTGGTGGTCAGTATTCTGAGTCTATGCAGGTCCTGAGCTTCCAGAAGAAATTGTAATGGCAGTCGGCACCACTTTTGGTGGTAGGAAAGGAAAGAAAACTTGTGAAGCCTCTCCTGGCTGGGATGGCCTTCAGTCAAAAAGAAAGGACTGTTTGGGAATTGTCCATGCATGGAAATGTGTGAAAACAATGGTAGCCAGAAACTGATGGGTTCTAAGTTAGCATAGTTAATGATGTAAAATCTGGCGTATCAATGAGCAGTAGAGTTTTGGTCATTGCTATTATTTTTTGTCTTTGTGATTAGTTGCAGAGATTCATTGTTAACATCTCATCTAATTTTTCTTTTTATTATAGTCACAAACCATGAATTATGTGGGCCAGCTGGCTGGGCAGGTGCTTGTCACCGTGAAGGAGCTCTACAAGGGCATTAACCAAGCCACACTGTCAGGGTGCATCGATGTTGTCGTGGTGCAGCAGCAGGATGGCACCTATCAGTGTTCACCTTTTCACGTGCGGTTTGGGAAGCTGGGAGTCCTGAGATCCAAAGAGAAAGTGGTGAGTGCAGTGCACAAGCCTGTCTTCTAGGAGGGAAAAGAGAGCGTCAGTGAGTAAATTGTTGTTGTGACCTTTCTGCTCCCTGCTTCTTTCTTTTGAACTTGCATGTTGTTAAAGACACTCATATGAGAAGTCAATCTGTATAGGTATTGCTTTTGAAATTGTTTCTGAATTCATAAAACCCTATTACAAGAAGTCTTCCCAAGGGAAAAAGAAGCTGAAAATTATAATGGTAATCCTACATGTTGAAACTCAAAAGAGCAAAACAGAAAATAGTCATAAATGAGGGAATTAGGTGTCTATTTAGAAAAAATATATATTTTCTTCACTTTGTTTTTCAGCTGTAAATCAGTTTTTATTGAAATATAATATATTGGTATGAAAGTGTACCCATATAACCATTCTGGTTTTCACTCTCAGAACAATATTCA